TTATTTTCTAAAAAGCTTCAGCTGTAAAATTCCATTTAACCAGTTCTCTGTTGATGAACATTTAGGTTATTTCCCATCATTTGCTATGAAGAATAATATTGCATGTGTCATTTTTCACACAGGCGAATATATCTATAATAGTTTCTTGGAAGTAGAATCGCAGGGTCAAAGGACGATTCCTTTATAATTTGTTTGATGTTGTTTAAATTGTCCCAACATGCCTCCCATTGGAGTGTTTCCACACAATCTTGGTAACATGAGATATCATTAAATGTTTACCTTTTGCTAATTTGATAGATAAAAATGGTATATGATTATAATTTTAATTTTCATTCCCCTATTATGAATAAAATCAAGTGGCTTTCCCTTTAATAAGAGTCTTTAATTTTGAATTTCCCTTTCCTATAACCAGGTATACATAACATTTGCCCATTTTCCTACCATGTCTATGATCTGCTCTATTTTGATTGGTAAGAGCTATTTATATATCGGCCAGATTAGCCCTTTTTCTGTGATAAATTGCAGATATTTTGCCCAGGGTAATTTGTCTTTTGATTCTGCTTATAGCATTTTTTGCATACATATTTTTAAAGACATAAAGTGAGATATACCTTTTTTTTTCCTCTTCTGGCTTTTGCATTTTATATAATTGAAAAGATTTTTCTCATTCCAGGGTAATGAAATAATTCTTACATTTTTCTGCTGTTTTTATGGTTTTATTTGTTACTTTTTAAAAATGTATTCTATTGTTGAGAGTATTACAAATGTCTCCCATTTTCCTTCCTTCTCCCCCCTCCACCAATCTCCCACCCCATCCCAGGCCTTCACCTGTCTATTGTCTATGTCCATGGGCTAAGCATATATGCTTCATTTGTTACTTTTTAATCTTTGATGCATTTGGTATGAATATAAATCCAATTATTTTCCAAATGGCTACCCAGTTATTACTAGTATGGGCTAGTCTGTTCCTCCCCTCTCTCCCCGCCCCCCCCCAACTTATTTGAGTGGCTAACTTTATTACATCCTAACTTTTATGTATACTTGAACTCCATATATATTTGGATTTTCTCTTCTATTCCATTGATCTAGTTTATCAGCCAATGACTCACTGACTTACTAAAGCCTTGTGATGTGCTGTAATATATTCCAGGACAGGTGCTCCCTTTGTCTTTGTTCTGGGTATTCTTACTTGCTTCTTTTTACATAAGAACATTTTAAAGTCTCTTGGTATTTTTATTATAACTGTATTTGATTTATAAATTAATGTAGGGGAAAAGTACATCTTATTGGGTTGTGACTAATGTGATGGACTAGAAAGAACATAGAATTTGGACTCAAGCATACCTACAATCAAATGCCAGCTCTGCTTCCCTGATAGACCCAATACTTAACACAATTTCCTCATCTGTAAAATGGAGAGAACAATAGATAACATGCAGTTTATGCTGAACATTAAGTAAGATAGTCTATGTAATGAGCAAGCATATTGGTGAATAAGAGATTTTTAAAAATGACTTCCCTTCCCCACTCTTTTAACTCCCTCCTTTATCAAGAACTTATACACTAGAATAGGGAATAAAGTGAGAACACACACATACACACTACAGGGTGTGGGGGAAGGATGCCTAGGACTGTGTTAAGAACATTGGATTTAGAGCCAGACAGAACTGGGTTCTAACCCCAGGCTGGCCAAGGTCTGAACAAGTCACCATGGCATGTAATCCAAATCACTAAGTCTTAGTTTCCTTGTCCATAAGATGGAATAATAATACTATTTCATACAGTTAGGAAAGAAAGAAAAATACACATGAAGCACCTAGGGTACACCCAAAGTAGCAGTGGTACCCCCAGTGTCCTTGCTCCTGCCTGAGAGCTACACAGTTGACAGCTGAGATAGGATTACCTGCTGGCTGCCAAAAATTCTCCCATTCAGTCAGACCTCCTCCCACGGAGTGGAGAATTCCAGCTCTCTGCTTAGGAAACACAACACGAAGCCCCATCCCACTCTACTTTCTTCCCGACCTCTAATCCTCCCAGCCATGTGGACTCCTCACTGAAGTACTTAATCATGCGCTGTCATATAAGGTTACTCAACATGTCGGTGCGCTATGTTCCACTCACCAAAGCACCCTGTCTCTTGCTATTCTTTTATTTCTCAAAGCATCACTCAATAAATTGAACCCAATGTCAGCAAGCAATTTAATGCTCTAAATCATGTAATTTTAGGGTTGGAAGGTTTTTTCTTAATTTATTTTTTATAACAGTATAGTTGCTATACAATCTTATATTGGTTAAATTTGTGTCAGGTGTACAATATAGTGATTCAACATTGTTATAGCTTACGATGTGATCACTGTACTAATTCTAGTAGTCATTTGTCACTGTGTAAATTTATCAAAATATTACTTACTATAGTCCCCTTCCCCTTTTCACTCATCCCCTAACCCGCTCCCTTCCAGTAACCATCACTTTGGTTTATATTTCTATGAGTCTGTTTTGTTTGTCTGCTTTGTTTTGTTTTTAGATTCCATATATAAGTGAAACCATATGGTATTTGTCTTCCTCTGCCTGACTTATTTCACTTAGCACAAATACCCTCTATATTCATCCATGTTGTCATAATTGGCAAGATTGCATTTTTTATTAATGCAAAATATTCCATTGTATATATGTACCACATCTTTCTTATCCATTCATCTATCAATGGTCAACTAGATTGCTTCTATCTCTTGCATATTATAAACAATGCTTCAATGAACATAAGGGTACATATATCTCTTTGAATCAGTGTTCTTATTTTTTAAAATAAATACTCAGAAGTGGAATTGGAAGTTTATTGAATGGTGTGATATGTGAGTCCCCTCAAATACAGTTGATTAATCTGTTTTAAAAAACTCCACCAAAAGATTCTACTTCTTACCACAGCATGTTCCCACTGGAATATTTCCTCTGCCCCAGGGCCTTTGCATGGCTCTTCTTGATCCCTGGAACACTCTTCCCACTTCCTCTCTTTACCTTTTTTAATCCTACTCCTATGATACTTAAAAATTTCAGATCACTCATCTCTTCTACTAACAAGCCTTCCCTGAACCCACAGGTTAGATCAGTATCCCCCTAAAATGAATCCCCCATTATACCTGCCCACTCTTTTTTTTACTATACTTAATCACAGTTAGTACTTACTCACATTTGTTTTCAAATTCACCATTTGAAAAATAAACATATTTCTCAGCCACTAGATTACAAAATTCATAAAACCAAAAGCAACTCTATTTGTGCACATCATATCACCAGCACCTGACTCTGCACCTGGCCCATCATTGCTTTTTAATAAATGTTTGTTGAAACAACTAGTTAATGGATTAAACAAAGGCTAAGTGCTTCCTAGTAAGGCTATATTTTTATACTATCTGCATCATTGTATCCCTACCTCAGCTCAATCACAAAGTGAGTTTCCATCTCTTTTTACCCTTTCCTAATATCTTACCTTGATGGTAGACAACTTACAACTAAACATGGCCCATTTGATCTGCTATTGGAGAGGAATCTCTTCTTCCCTTTTCTTCCAGGCAAGCAGTCTACCCACTCCCACTCCCACCTCACCCAGAAACACACAGCAGATTTATAAGTCGCTTATCTATAATGTAAATACTTTCTCTACATGTAAGTGTAATGTGTGTTACAATGATAAACCCAGAGTTCTATACAAGGCTAAGAATTTCAGATCTATTGCCTTTAGACCCATTGCCTTAGGAACATTCCTTGCCCTTCCTCTGCTCTGTATCACAGCGTGGGCTCACCTCCACAGCCTGTAGCTCACAGGCGAGGTAGAGATGAGACTAGAGGACAAGAGGAAGGGGCAGCCAGAACATTCTCTACCCCTTTCCCTAGGCTCAGGGGCTGCATTATTTCCATAGCTGCACATCCCATGTGACAGGCCTACAGAGGTCAAGCTTGCCCTGGTGACCTCTGCCTCTGGGCTCCAGAAAAACTCACCTCCTTTGGTCCTTGTAAACAGGAAGAGGTAGGGCAGTGATGGCGAACCTATGACATGCGTGTTAGAGGTGACACGCGAACTCATTTTTTTGGTTGATTTTTCTTTGTTAAATGGCATTTAAATATATAAAATAAATATAAAAAATATAAGTCTTTGTTTTACTATGGTTGCAAATATCAAAACATTTCTATATGTGACACGGCACCAGAGTTGTTAGGGTTTTTCAAAATGCTGACACGCCGAGCTCAAAAGGTTCGCCATCACTGAGGTAGGGCTTCCTGCTGCTGCAAATCTTAGGGTTGCCTTACATTTCTTTGCTGACTTCTTTTCTATCACCTATACGACCAATTCCCTACATTACGTTGCTCAAACTGGTCATTATTTTCCCATCTGGCCTGATACAAGTAAAAGATAACAATAGAAAGCTAGAGCAACTATTCTGTATATTGGTAGTTCACTTTTTCTGTGGGTACCTTTAAATCCCATCTTGCATTATGAATTCTCTGTATTATTGCACCAACTCCCAAAGCACTTTCTACATATTAAAACTTCCATAAATATTTGCTGAATGAATGAATGAATCAATGAATTGAGCCGTGGGAGCTATAATATCTTAACTGTTTAAAGCTTTTATGTATATTAGAAAGTTGTTATACATTAATTACAATCAGTTGATAAGTGCCTTCCTCAATAACATACAAATCTGGAAGTAATGTAATTAATTCAAAATTACATAAGCAATCAAGGTGTGCTTACTTTTCCATCAATCAAGGAATAATTACTTAGCCCTAAGAAAGCTCAAAAGGGGTTTGTATAGCCTTTAATGGGGCTTGCATAGCATATGACAACTCAGGAATCAGAATAGCATTGTCAAAAGCACTAGACAATTAAGGCTGCTTAAATATCAAGCATGAAAGGTCTGTTACTTCTCAGATACTGTTGTAATTTTCCTTACAGAATTTCTTTTTTTTTTTTTTTTTTTTTTAGGGTTGGCAGAGCCAGCTTGGAAAAAAAAACCAAACCCACTTGATTTGGCTTTTAGTTGGGGGCATGAGAAAGAGGCAGTCCCCCTGGCAGTAAACCCCCACCCCAAGGGTGAGCTGAGGACTGGGACTGAGCCTCAGGCTGGGCTTCCTGTGCCCACTGCTCCCCTGCACAGCTCCTTTCCCAAGGCCTGGAGGACAGGAGGGCCCACAGTAGTCATTCACTTGGGGAGGACATCAGATGATTCAGACACCAGCTTCCCATCTTGGGTCTCAATCTTGGGTCTCAATCTTCTTCGCAACCACCATCTTGAAGGAGTTGGTGCAACTGAAGGAGCAAGAGCACCCACCAGAGCCCAGGTTGGCCTGGAAGCCCAGGCCATAGTTGAGGTTCCCGTAAAATGGGTTCATCAGCCCATCTGAGTAGCCAAGGGTGGTGTTGGTGTGGATACTCATGTTCTGCATCCCAGAGTCCAGCCGGTTCTCCTCGCCCTCCAGAGGCTTGCAGTAGATGGCGATCTCCACATCCAGGGTCAACTTGACAGTCATGAGCTCTGGTACTTGCACAGCTGCTGCCTTACAGAATTTCTTGAAGAGATCTTCTATTTGGATGAAATTTTACACACACACACACACACACACACACAGCATCAACAGCACAATTATAACAAAAAACAACAACAACACAAATAGATAGGTAGATAAACATATAAATGTGTAGTTTGAGATAAGAGGCGGAAGAGAAAGGTTAAATACTGCCTTAACTTAGCCTGTGTCCCCTTGCAAAAGCAGAAGCGAGAGGAGAACTTAAATGCAAGTAATTTGCTTAAGAGGTTATGCCCCCCCAAACCCACATGTTGGAGTCCTAATCACCAGTACCTCAGAATGTGACTGCATTGGGAGACAGGGCCTTTAGAGAGGTGATAAGGGTATATGAGGTTATTAGTGTAGGCTCTATTTCAATATTGCTGGTCTCCCAGTGAGAAAAGACTCGAACAAAGACATGTACAGAGGGAAAACCACATGAAGACAGAGGGAGAAAACAGCTATCTATAAGCCAGGGAGAGAGACCTCAGAAGAAATTAACCCGAATGACACATTATTCTTGGACTTCTAGCCTCCAGAACTATAAGAAAATAAATTTTTTAAAAAAATATATATTTTATTGATTTTTTTACAGAGAGAAAGAGTTAGATACATTGATGAGAGAAAACCTCGATCAGCCTCATGCACCACACCCCCTACTGGGGATGTGCCCACAACCAAGGTACATGCCCTTGACCGGAATCGAACCCAAGACCCTTCAGTCCACAGGCTGACTCTCTATCCACTGAGCCAAATAGGTTAGGGCAGTGGTCAGCAAACTGCGGCCCCTTGAGTGTGGCTCTTCCACAAAATACCACGTGCGGGCGCATACGTACAGTGCAATTGAAACTTCGTGGACACACTGAAGGGGCCAAAGAGCCGCATATGGCTCACGAGCCGCAGTTTGCAGACCACGGGGTTAGGGCAAGAAAATAAAATTTTGCTGTTTAAGCCACTCAGCCTGTGATATTTCTCTTGGCATCCCTAGGGAACTACTACAGAGAAAATCCTAGGGAACACGAGTGAGGTTCAGTAGGTGAGGAAGTGTAGAAAGAGCAGTGTATATTACCCATTCCAGCATCTATTTCTTATGTTACCTGGGTTTAGATCCTTTTGTCATCATACAGTCATTCATTCAACAAACATTTATTGAAACGTCAACTAAGTACTAGGCACTGTGCCTGACCTTACAGGTATAGCAGAATAAAAAGGCAACCCTTGTTCTCATGGTTGGAACTTAGCTACAAGATCCAGCTAGTGATCCTGGAGGCTCTGCCCTCAGGCACGGCTAGGTAGCAGCATGCCTCTTATATCACACCACAGGACTCACTGGCCCAGAATCTCTGGCACCTCATTGACAGCCTGGCTGTGTGCTTCCCTTCCAGAATCCTCAGGCATCCCATCTATTTAGATTTCTTCAGCATTATTTTTCCAGGATCTTCATGAATATAATTTTTAAAACCTAAATTATGTGTTACCATAAACAATAGCAATGCCCCCACACTGGTTAATTTTAACAGCATCTAGGAGCAGCAGGAACTTTCTTCCATTTTCACTGTTCAGTATTGTGTCTGTGCATTAAGGATCAAACTTTTAGATTATTTCTAACCAGAAATAATTACTCCAAAGTGGGCAGGAGAGTAGGTAATATGGCATCAGTCATTTCTGATATTGCTGATAGCAATTACTAGTAAGAATGTTCTGTAGCCCTCAGAAAAGGCCACTAGCATAAGATTGTTAATGCCAGAAAGGTGAGATTCTACACGTCCTGGCTTAGCCCAGCCCTATGTTTAACAGATGAAAAAAAATGTGGCAATGTAGCATAGTAGAAAGAGCCTGGATACACAGTCGCATGGATCTGGGTCCAAATACCTACTCAGCCACTAATCCCCTGTGTGATCTTGACCAAGTCACTTCACCTCTCTGAGCCAATGTCTTCATCTGTAAAATAGATCCCCTAGCTCCTAGGGTTACCACCATCTTTGCCAGGAGTTCTTTTCTACCTGGGCCATGTGAACTAAATGGTAATCCCACCCCCCAGCACTCCCTAACATTCTTCCCTGCTTTTATTTTTATCCTCAGCGCTCAATACATCTGAAACTCCATATAGATCTCCATCTTTATTTCTCTTTTCATTTACTGTACATGTTGCCGCCACTAGAATATAAAATCCAAAAGGGCAGGATTCTTGACTATTTCATTGATTGCTGTATCCCTAGCACACAGTGGGAATTCAAAGAGTATTTGTTGAATAATTCAGTTCATGAATGAATGGATAAAACATTAAAAGATAGCCGTTAAAAGTTAGCTGAATGATGCAAGGGACCACAAGTCTAGGTTAAATAGCTGGCAGAATGATACCAGTACCAAATGGAGACGCTACCAACAAGCTGTGGCTTTTTCTCATGAGGAAAACTAAGATTTGGCTGATACTTGACCACAAAGTGCTTTTTTAACAATAGCATCAATTATTCTGGGCGCGTATCTTCTCCCTGGCATCCTAAATTTCTCACAAGTACCCAGCTGGTTGACAGACAACCCTACTTAATAACAACCTCTGACCCTTAAAGAGCTGCTTCCTTTGCTCAAAGTACTTTCAGATACACATTCTATTAAGGCTCCATATCTTTGCAGCAAAAGGCTCTTCCCACCACTTTTATCTTGTGTGTGAGTAAGGACACAAAGATTACAGCAGAGCACGTCTTAAAGAGGAACCAGGCCAGCAAATGAGAGAAAATGTGCAAGAGTGGGTTGGGAATAAAGCAAAAAAATATATAATAATGTTTGTTACTGTTAATATCACCTCACTTTTAACCCTCGGACTGAAGTGCTCTGGGATACAGCACAGGTCACACAGAGATGGCGCAGCGAGGGAAGAAGAGGACACTTCCTAGCCACATGCACTGGCTAACTGAAGGCTGGTAGTCAAGGGGGTCACAGAAGTTACGGGCAAATGGTCCTCAAAACCCAACAGGAGTTGAACAAGTGTTTCTCCAGTGAACAGATGAATAGATGAATGAATGAAATATTTATCGTGTCTTCATCCATATGTAGTAATTAAGCGCCTCCATTGTGCCAGGTTCTATGGTAGGCATCAGAGGTACAAAGATGAATGAGACATGTAGAGGGCTTGGGCTGCATCAGTAACTGTCAAACATTTTTTAGACTTGGAATCTCCTTCAAAAGAACAAAAGTTCAATATGAAAAACAGTTTAAAGGTGAGCTGCTCCAAACTGAAAGGTTTTTATGTGGAAGGGTAGGGAAGGGGAAGCCAAAAGGGGCCTTTGCACCTGTGGGTGTCTTAGGAAGCTCCATGGCTCCCCAGAGCATGTTTGAAAGCATTGAGCCAGATAACCATTCAGGTGCCTCTATGACAGAGGTGCCAATATTCTACTGGTTGTACACCAAGCCCAATATAAGAGAGAAGGGCCCTAAGGGGTCAAAGACAGAGAGAAGGGTTCGGAACCCAAAAGTGTCCTACACTAAGGTTGCTGCTATAGGCTTCCTTGGCAATCAGGAGTTTGTGAAAGCTAAGGCTTTGAGGTAGGAGACTGTCATGGACATTAGTTGTTTATATTGGCTATTCAGCATGGATCTTGTTGAACAGGAAAAAATTGCTTTTTCTTATGGAGGCAGAAATGTTAGATACTTGCACAGGTATGAACCCAGATCTAGAGACATAAGTATATGTCTCTTTTCTTCTCTTCACTTCTCTCTTCTTCCCTTCCCTTCCCTTCCCTTCCCTTCCCTTCCCTTCCCTTCCCTTCCCTTCCCTTCCCTTCCCTTCCCTTCCCTTCCCTTCCCTTCCCTTCCCTTCCCTTCCCTTCCCTTCCCTTCCCTTCCCTTCCCTTCCCTTCCCTTCCCTTCTCTTTTCCTCTCTTGCCTCACCTTCCCATCCCTTCCCTCCTCTCTTATTCCCTCCCCTCCCTTCCATCCCCTTTCCAAAACTCCTTTCCTCCCCTCTCCTTCCTTTGCCTCTCCTTGGTGGCATTTTAGTGTCTGAGGTTGCAAGGTCAGATCTTGAAACAGACGCAGTGTTGGGGCTCACATAGCACTTTCCTCATTAGACCACTGAAAGCTTCCCCCCAAGCCTTCTCTGCAGCCTCCAACATTTCTGTTGGCACAGGCTACCGAATGGGAGGAAGGTCAAGTGGGAGACTGGGAGACAGGCACACTTCTCCATCAGAAGCTCACCCCAAGTCAAGCCAGAAAACTGCCTAAAATGGGGCTGCAAAAGGAAGACGTCTGAAGAGTTTCCAATCATATCATCTTGAAATAGTTCTGAATTCTTTCTCTTTCAATATACAGCTTTTAAACAACACAAAGACTTTCTACCCTTGAGCCTATGTATTTATATTTTGGGAAATGTCAGCCAAATCCAGCGGTCTCTTCCTGCTTAGAACTTTGAGTGATCTGAGTCAAATGCTTTGAGAAGTCATTTTTCCTTTAAAGAACTCCTTAAAGAGGAATCCAGGTGGACTTTAGCCTGATAGCCAAGTTGTTGACAAAGCACCAGAGTTTCTGCTATTTCCTGGACACCAGTCCATATTGCTTTAACAGGATTTCATTGCATTGAACTTGATATTCCCTCCAAAACCATTAATCCAGTCTCAGCTACTTCTGTTGGTCAGAATTGACTTGGCAGCTGTACTTAGAGAGGTCCAGAGAGAGAGAAAAATATTCTCCTGTGTTAATTAAATGATGGTGACCAGGAAATAAAGTCCTACTTTGGGATTTAGAAGTTAGGAAACAGGGGTTCCAATGCTGAACTTGCCAACTCTCAGTTTGTGAACTTGATGTTCCCTATCTAGGAAATGGAAAATATACTTCATGGGATTTTTGTGGAGACTAAATAAAAATATATATGATTATTTAATATAAATAAGGATATATATTATAAATATATCACCCAATAAAAGTTAGTTTCTATTGCTATTTCTTTGCTGCTGTTGTTGCTATAGAGTCAGAGCAAGGGTGACCAGAGATGCTAGTGAAGGAAGACATGAGGTTGGAAAATAAGAGCTGAGATGATGGGAAAGAAAGAGAACTTTGGAGTCAGGAGTTTCTGTTTCCCACCAGCCATGTGATTGTAGACAATCTATTTTAGCTTTCTGAAGCTCCATTTTCTTATCTATAGCATAGGGATACATTTGCAGGGATTAAATAATAGGATGAATGTAAAAGCTCTGAGTATAATGCCTAGTTCATAGTATGAACTCAATCAGTGTTAATATTCTTTCATTTCCCCCTCTTAGTAAGAAAGGGGGAGAAGCTTTTAAACTTACAGAGATGTAAACCAAGGGTCAGCAAATACAGCCAGCAGGCCTAATGAGCCCACTGCCTGTTTTTATAAATAAAGTTTTATTGGAATACAACCATGTCCATTGTTTACTACTGTCTATGACTTTTAGTTATTTCAGAGACCATGTGGCCCACAAAGCCTAAAATATTTGCTATCTGGAACTTTACAGAAAATGTCTGCTGACCTCCTATCTAAGCTATCCAAGTCCAGACTCCATATTTAGAGCTTTGGGTCAGAGTTCCATTGTTCTATGTAATCTGGCCATTTTCCATTTGTATATTCAGTCCCTCTGTCCCCTTTTTGATCATTCTTTCATTTACAGGAGGTTGACCAATTCAAGGAAGACCAGAGATCCAGATCGCCCCAGGATTGCCCAGTTGTTTCCACAGTCAATTGGACCAAAAGATCTTTTTGACCTTTTTACTGTCATGTCATCATGGTGACCATTTGATAAGGGAGCTGCTGCACAGAAGCATTTACAACTTTGTATAGAACATAATGGGTCAGTCCAACAACCATTAAGACAAAAGCAAGAGCAATTAATAGTCCCTTTAAGATTACTGGTACCAGGAATTCCAATTGACCAATTCAGGAAAAGAGAACAAATCCTATAGGCTATGAAAACTGGCCTTAGAGGATTAAGTCACCTTTTCTTAATGGTTAAGTATAGCCTGCTCTATAATGCCCACTTCATTGATCTAAGTAAACAAGGACTATTAGCAATGACACAAACACCACAATGACTAAGAGCCAACCAAAAATTTCGAGCAATGCAATTGTCCATACTACTCATACCAACAAGTTGAGACTGATCTGTTATCTACCTAGGGCAAGAGTGGCACCATTAAAAACTTATTGTAGAATTAATTATATGTTTCTTGCAGTCTTTTTTATTCCATTGGAAACATGGCCCACAGTATTCACATAAATAATAAGTGAGTAATTCCCAAGGAAGAGATTGATCAAAGGTGGCACAGTTTAATGTAGAAAGAGTGACAAGAAAAAAAAAAGAAAAAGAAAAAGAAAGAGTGGCATATATATCTACCAAGAATTGGTGAGGGTGGCCATTTATGTTTATAGTTAATTTACTAAAGCAGACTACTGTGAAGTACTTTCATGGATCTGAACTGAGAAATTATTCCTTGTTTTCTTTTTTCTTTTCCAAAATAGGAAAATCTTTTTCCCATTGTTACCTTCTGTTTACAAATTCTACAGGTATCCTTGTCAGTAAGTGCTCTGTTAGGAAGTGGGCCACACAATTGTTTCAGCTGCAGGTCCATATATTTATTTGGAGTCCTGTCTCATTTTTTCTCTAGGGCCCTTTCAAAATGTTGCACCAAGTGTTATAGTTAGTGTTTTCCATTCTAACTTCTATTTTATTATTAAGTCTCCAATAAAAGAGCTGCTGTTATGTCTGTGCTCACAAATGTTGTCAGAAGTTATTTTCAGATCTATCCCAAAACCTCCTACAGTGTCATATTTTCTCTGTTTGCAGAGTTAAATTATTATCCAACCAGTTTTAGTGGAAATATTTAAGGTTTCGTTTTTAGGAGACTTTCTAGGTCTTTCTTTGACCTTCAGGTTTATTGTGGAAAAAGAGATCCTATAGGTCCCTTTCTGAATCAGTCCAATTCCTTTTGCCATCCAGGATTTAGCATCTAAAGTTCCAACCAACATGTGTAAAAGTTGATATGCCGGGTAACCCTGGGTTGTATGCACTCAAAACAATTCTAAATTTTTCTATGAATAGTTGTTGGTCATGTCTGGGTTTAGGGAAATCCTTAATTATAATTTTTAACTCAGGTTGGGTTCATGGTTTCAATTCTACTATAGCTTTTATATCTGGCAAGATATATATTTACAGGTAACTGACATATTGAGGTCTTCAAGAGAGTCTTTTAGGAAAATATAGGACATCTTGTCAAGGTAAAAAGTAACAACACAGGGGCAGAAGGAGACATATCAGAAGAATAGAGCTATATTTAGGGGGTAACTAGAGGACAAGGAAGGAAATGATTTACTAGGGAAAAGGAGTATGCTGGTACTTTAAGTTTGTCAAATTACTCATAACTTTGGCCAAAACATCTTTTAATAAGTAGCTTTTTAATCAGAATTTTGTTTGAAGGCCTTTGTACATCAGTCAAAAAAACAAATGCTACCCATTGGGCCTTAGAAATATTAATTTCTTTTATATTTCAAGTATCTCTCAAATGAACAATTTTGTTCAACTTCAAATATTCCTCAGAGTGGCCAGTGAAAGCCCAAATTATCTTGCTGAAATTATGCTACTTAGGTAAGTGAATAAATTAGGATTGTAATAAGAGTACATGCAAGATGGAGTTTTTTTGTGAGACTTGGAGAAGATGTATACTTAAACAACCCCATGAGAGCTGGCAATAGTCCGTCGAAAGCAATGCTTGGCCGCTGTGTGTCTCAGGACCCTAATCTGACTGTTTGCTTTCTCTAAATGCAGGCAATGACCACTCCGCTCACCCTCAGAAGGCAGAAAAAAAACCTGAGAAAAGCTAAGTGCTTAGGACAAAATATCTAGATGCAAGGAGAACTTTACCCTATTTTATTGGTGATCCACAACAAAGTCTGTATGGATGTTGGTCTGGTGAGAGCCACAAATTCATCAGTCTGAGCGTAGCTCAAACAGCAGGCCTACAGGGACTATGTAAAGACAGAGGAAAACAAGTAAAGGGGATGGAAGAAATGGCCTGATTTCTCAAAGGATGCCAAGCAATTAGGAACTAATAACAAAATCCGGTTACTAAATCTAGAATAGATGCTAAGAATCTCAAGACGGGAGTGTGGAGTTCAGACCCAGTGCTCACTTACCTTGTAGGCACTGGCTCTTGCTGCTGTAAAGCAGTGAGGAAAAGGAGCCGATCGGTGCCACCCCTGGGTGTAGGCTGGGATCTATGGTTGTGGGCAGTGCAAACCATACCTCAGAGGAACCTCCGGAAAAGCTGTGGGAATAAACAAGACCGCCCAAATGAGAGCATGCAGAGGCTACTTATTCATAGCAAGGAATTAGTCATCATCACATTTGGTAGAGACTCACAAGCAGGCAGGTGGTGGGAAATCTTTTTAGTGGGAAAAACAGGCTTCAGATGTACTTTATTGGAGATTATTGGCATGAGGGAGCTGGAACCAGGTTAGAGAAGCCTCTTGTGTGATTGGTTTGTATTTGGCTTTCTCTGGTTGGTCCCGAGTTGGAAGTGGGGGCACAGCACAGGGAATTTGGCAGTCATTGACCAAGTCCTGGGGAGACTGCTGCAGAGGTGTAGTTTGACTCCCAGGTTGCTTGCTGCAGAGGTTGTGGGTTTGAGTTCTATTGTCATATGTGGTCTGGCCATTGTTTATATATTCAGTCTCTCAGTCTTTTAAATTTTCTAGTTCATTTTCCTCTAATTGTCCCTGCTCTTTGTGTTTATAATAGCAAAATGTTGGCACAATCTAAATATCTAACACTAGGGGATTATTGGTGGCTGTTTGACTTACACCATCCAATCCCTAATGTTGGCCATTTAGAATTCCTGGCATCAGTTCCACATGGAGAGGGGGATGAGATTCTGTGGGCTCTTAAATAGGCTGGCTCCTGGTTCAGTAAATTCTAGCCCCAAACACACTGGGGCTTCAGCAACACAGGGCAGTTGAAAGGCAATGAAGATACAAATTAGCTTTATGGGGATAGAAAATAATAAGTGATCATAATAGCTGGTATTTTGATTTATTCAATCTTTACAACTTCTCTAAGAATGCAGCTTCAGCTCCATTTTACAGATGAGGAAACTGAAACAGAGAGGCTAATTTACCCTAGAGACACAACTAGTAAGTGCAAAGCAGGATTCTATCCCAGGCTGGCTACACTCTTGACAGCCATGTTTTTAGATAACTTAACTAGGAAAAACTATTCCTGAGAGCAGCCAGAGCTGGGTCTTCAATGGTTAAGAGAGCTGGATGTGGAGTCATCCAAACTAAGCTCAAATCCCAGCTCTAGCATGTACTGGCAGTATGACCTTTAACGAGTTCATTAACCATCTAAAGTCTGAGTTCCTCATCTGCAAAATGGGGAGCATATAAGCAGAGCCAGATGGAATCTATCAGACCTTCCAAGCAGCTATCTATGATTCATCATCATATTATTGAAAATGAAATGCAGTAGGAGAAAAGAAGTATTTTCCAGAACTTCTTTCACAAAGAGTAGACTATGTTGCTAGAAGAAATAATTTAATCAATTTCTGGAAGTTGTGGAGTGGCAATATTAAGTAACAATAAATAGTTGCTAAACCACTTTCTAAGGACAAGTGTGTCTGGTTAACATGAGGACTTTTGTTTGCAGAGCACTTCATGAAATTGTGGGCCAGAGTTTAACTCTCCTATAAAATAGAAGACTGGCTGACGCAACCAGTAGCAATTCCCATTATCCACTGCCGCGCTCTCAACCTCTCTATAAATTCTAGAGATTTAAATATGAGCAACTTGAAAGGGCACAAATTAGTCAGCTGCCTTGATGCCTGTGTGCCATGTTCTGGCCCAGCTAAGGTTTAACTTGCAGAAATGCTGAAAACATTAGGTGCTATTAAGTGGAACCATGCAATTGCCAATATTTAATTGTTTTGACCTATCGAAATAATTTGGTGTGGTTTAATGTACTATAAAGTATTGAGAATACTTTAACGCAGGACCTGACCCAAAGTAATTCCTTGGTAAATGATAACTAGTCTTATTGTCAATTACCAAAAAGAGGCCAGCTCACTCAGGTATGCTTCTGGCAGGCAGCACTTGAGGTCCAGTCTAATGCATGGGGAATTCTCAAATTCTGGTGAATACTAGCACCATGGTTTGGAACTGAATTCCATTGGAAGTAGAATGTCTGTCTATGAGGTGGCTGACAGAACAGGGGTTCCTAGCCAGGGTGAGGCTAGATTGTTGGGGTTTCTCTACAAGCAGGGGCTGTGCCTGCATTTCATCAGGAAACAGGAATGCACACAGGGCCACTGAGGCAAAATTCCAGGCCTTGAACAAGGCCAACTGGAAAAGGAAAGGATAAATGGAAAAGGAATGCTTTGATTTCTCCTTCTGTTCTCATACTTAAAATGTTTTTCACAGTAAAGTAAGTTTCAAGCAAAGGAGCTATGAAGTCAGAGAACCTTGCCTCTAGCTTGGAGATATACAATGCACTTTCATCCAGAAATCTTTAGCTCACAAACTTTTTTTCAGGGCTAATAGATGCACATTTAAAAGTCTTACAATAGAGAGCATGTTTAATTTTATTAAAAGCTACATTTCTCAAACATTATATAACATTACTAGAGGCCCGGTGCACAAAAATTTGTGCACTCGGGGGGGAGGGGGGGGTCCCTCAGCCCGGCCTCTGCCCTCTTGCAGTCTGGGACCCCTCGAGAGATAATGACCTGCTGGCTTAGGCCTGCTCCCGGGTGGCAGAGGGCAGGCCCAATCCCTAGGTGCAGCCCCTGGTCGGGCTCAGAGCAGGGCTGATTGGGGAGTTGGGGCGC